GAAAGGTAAGTTAAGAGGTAGAAAGGTAAGTGAATTTATTTTATTAAAAAAAATAATAATAATAAAGAAAGAAAAAGCTTACTCACGCTATTTCACGATAGCCTGCGCCATTTCACAAGTTCAAGAGTACAATTTATAGGAAAGATAAGTTAAAAAGAGGTAAAAAGATAAGTTAAGAAGAGATAGAAAGGTAAGTTAAAAGGTAGAAAAGTAAGTGAATTTATTTTATTAAAAAAAATAATAATAATAAAGAAAGAAAAAGCTTATTCACATCATTTTACAATTACCTACATCATTTCGTGAGTCCAAGAGTACAATTCAGAAGAAAGGTAAGTTAAGAAGAGATAGAAAGATAAATTAAGAAAAGATAGAAAGATAAGTTAAGAAGTAGAAAAGTAAATGAATTTATTTTATTAAAAAAAAATAATAATAATAAAGAAAAAAAAACTTACTTATATCATTTCGTGATCGCCTACACCATTTCGTGAGCTCAAGAGCACAATTCAGATAAAAGGTAAGTTAAGAAGAGGTAGAAAGATAAGTTATGAAGAGATAAAAAAGTAAGTTAAAAGGTAGAAAGGTAAGTGAATTTATTTTATTAAAAAAAAATAATAATAATAAAAAAAGAAAAAACTTACTCATATTATTTCACGATCACCTGCACCATTTTGTGAGCTCAAGAGTACAATTCAGAGAAAAGGTAAGTTAAGAAGAGGTAGAAAGATAAGTTAAAAAAAGATAGAAAGGTAAGTTAAGAGGTAGAAAAGTAAATGAATTTATTTTATTAAAAAAAATAATAATAATAAAAAATGAAAAAGCTTATTCACGCCTATTTCGTGATCGCTTGCACCATTTCACAAGCTCAAAAGTACAATTCAGAAGAAAGGTAAATTAAGAAGAGGTAGAAAAGGTAAGTAAATATATTTATTAAAAAAATAATAATAAAAAAAAAAAAACCTACCTACACTATTTCACGAATTCAAGAGTACAATTCTAAAAAAGGATAAGTTAAGAAGAGGTAGAAAGGTAAGTTAAGAAAAGGTAAAAGGATAAATTAAGAGGTAGAAAAATAAGTGAATTATTTTATTAAAAAAATAATAATAAAGAAAGAAAAAGTCTACACTATTTCATGATCACCTGCACAATTCCTAATAGATCTATAATTTTGAAATTTCATAATTATTTCATCCCCTATCAAAATACTAATTTCAATTAAGATTACACTAAATTTTATTCCCCATAATAATTTCGATTCCCATAAATATTTTCATCTTTTATAATAATTTTAGGATTAATTTTGAATTTCAGAATTCAATTTCGGAGTTATTTTAAATTAACTAGGATCAGATTTTGAATTTTTAATTTTGGAAACATGTATACACTCAACTAAAGGACTATTACCAGTTATCTATTTAGAAAAAGTGGTACAGGGTAATTTAATTAGTAATGCATTCTCTAACATATATTTAGCAAATATTGTTAGGATAATTTGATCACTTTGAACTGAAGAAGATATGTAATACAAATCAGAACTGGGTTTCTTTAATTTTATCAGATATCTTGCTACTTCGAAAAGATTCACCTCTTCATAAAAAAATTCAACACCCTCTTACAAATAAGAATTTATAAGATACTTAAATCATGTATTACCTAAATCTGCTAGAGCTGATCAATATAATATTCAAGTTTATAGTTTTGCTCTTCTACAGATTTTACTTTTTGACAACACACTTATGAAAATTCACCTATATTTGGATCACCTCTTTCTGAATAGTAAAGTTATATCAATGATGCAATGGTTTTGGAGAATTCAGAAGAAACTGTCTTTGGATCTAATACATTTGAAGTTTATAATACTGTATCTACTGAACTCAAAACCTTACGCACATATCGAAAAATGATTCTATGAATTTGCATGATGGATTAGTTAATACTTTTTAACTGTGTTAACTTTGTTAAAAAAGATAAGTTAATTATATTTATATATTTTATTTATTGTTAAACTATAATTTGATTTAATACAAATTTAATCAATTATTGCAAGACAATGGGTAAGGTTCTATATATATTGAGAAAAAATAACTATTAATCATCATGAAATAGTAATAAATAAAAGTCTAAAGTACTAGTCTTCAGGAATATCTAAGATGATTTTATTTTAAAATAGATATATATATATAAATAAGTTATATATTAATAAATCGAATAAATAAATATATGAATTATACATTATTAATTTGACACATTTCTTCTCGAACTGCTCATAATAATTGATAATGTTGAGCAAGCTCTGAAACATACATGCCTTCTGGTCTGTAGAAATACTCTAACCATTTCTGTTGTATGATCTTTGTAACCAAATATTTTTTGCAATCTCTTTTGCACGTTTAACTCTTCTAATAACATTTTGCATCTACAATTCATAACGAAGAATCATTTTTTTTTCAAAGTAGGAATTACTAAGATTAGCTTTGGGTCTACTTTTAAGTTTCATATAGTCTTTATAACTAATATTGCAATAAGCATTTCCTGTGCAATTTGCATTCCAATGCTCATTCATAAAATGATGAAATTCATACTCATTCCACATCCTATTTTAGAATAAACAAGCTTATTACAAAAATAACAGATCACTATACTTGCACCCACAGAATGACCAAGATCACCTTCCCATAAGTATTCCATTTTTCTAGCAATATTGTATCACTTCATTCCACCAGTTAAGCGACTACTATTTTTGTAATTTATCAACTGATCTCAAATCCGTTTTTTCCAATCAGATGGAGTTTCATTCTTATGAATTACTGAAAATTGACAATAATCTCTCTATTCAGTATTGCTTAAAACTAGGCATTTATCAGTATAGACCATATTTAATAATTAAGTGATTTATAGTGTTTTTAGAGTTTGTGATTTATATCAAATTTAAGGATTTAAACCTATTTGATTTGGTTTTTATTTATTCTTAAAATGCAATTCATTTCTTGTGTAGAATTTGAATAGAAGTTTATATATATATAACTTTACTAATTCTCAATGCGATTAAAAATAATCTTAAATGATACTTGTAATATTGCCAGAGCTTATAATGGTTTTTGTCTTTCAGATACATATATTAATATTTCTACACCATTAAGATGGAAATGTTCTAAAGATCATGAATGGGATGCTCCACTTGATAGAATAAAATATAAAAATACTTGGTACCCTGTTTGTGCAGGTCGGCATCCTTTTCATCTTGAAATTGCAAAAAAGATTACTATAGATAAAGGTGGATTGTGTCTCTCCACCCAATGTACAGCTATCAAGGAATTATTACAGTGGAGATGTTCCAAAGGTCATGAATGGTCAGCAACCTACAATAATGTTATACACAATAAAAATTAGTACATAAAATGTTCGCATAGAAAGCCTTGTACTCTTGAAGATGCTATAAAAGTTGCACATGCTAGAAATGAAAAATGTCTTTCTGAAAAATTTATTAATGGTAAGTCACTATTATTATGGTGCTGTGCTGTAAGTCATGAATGGAATGCTAGTCTCGAGAGTGTAAAAAATAAAAACACATGGTGTCCACATTGTGTAGGAGGTAAACTCCGATATACTCTTGAAGATACTAGAAAAATTGCACATGATAGAAATGGGAAATGTCTTTCTGAAAAGTATATTAATAACATGACAGCTTTATTGTGACGTTGTTTTAAAGGGCATGAATGTAATGCAACATTTAATAGTATTAAAAATGCAAATTCATGGTGTCTCCATTGTTCAGGATGATATACTTATAATATTGATCAAGCCAAGCAAATTGCATTTAGCGAAATGGTGAGTGTCTCTCTACCTCATATTTTAATAACTATTCAGATCTATTATGGAAATGTGTTAAAGGACATATATGGTATGCAACACTTAATACTATTAAAAATCAAAATACCTGGTGTCCAATTTGTCAAAATAAATATGAAAATTTATGTCATGAAATTGTTTCTAAATATCTTGGACTGCCATCTAAGATATGTCGTCCTAATTTCTTAAAAACACCAGAACATTCTACAGGTTTAGAACTTGATATATTTTATCCTGAATATGGTTTTGCGATTGAGTGCAACATGAAAAATATATTAAATTCTTTCATAATGGTGATCCCAATAATTTTATTAAACAGCAAGAGCGAGATCAACTCAAGAAAGAATTGTGCAAAGAAAACTAGATTGCTTTAAGGTATGTCTAGTATTATGAAGACCCATATATAGTTATCCCAGAGCATCTTCGAGAATTGGGTCTTATTGGATAGAGGTAAATCTTATTTTATCTTTTTGATATGTAGATGATGTGAAAAATGCGTCAACCAGTGATGAAATCACAATTTGGTTAAGGTCTGATTCTCTAAATTTGCAGGAGATAGAATTACAACAAAGCGCAGGATAAAAAATATGACAATTCACTAATCAAGATAAAAAAATTAAATACACATACATTATTTTCCGATATATGGAAGTTAATAGTATCAATTATCTAACCTTATAGCAAACAAATAAATTTTATTTTCCCAATGTACACCACGAAAAATAATTCTTGATACGCTATTTTTTTATTTTATAAAGCTGAATAATATGTGAAATCATATCTGATATAATATACAGGCGACATTAAATATAGAATTGATAAGTAATACATATCGAAAAATACAGAAGAAAAATAACATCATATATGAACATAATAATCTTCAATTGTCTGAATTTGCGTAGTGGTGAGCTTCGAAATGAAACTTGCATTATACGACCTAATCCACTTAATTCTGTTAATTCCTATCTTTTTAAATAAATTGTATATTTTTAAGGCACCTTGTGTCTTATTTCGAACATTGTTTCTATTAAAACCCGGAAGATGGTTCATGATTTCGTTATAGACATCTTTCCTGGCTATATTTTCCCCACATCCCTGAAAATTCATAATATCTTCTACCCGGTCCATGTATCCTTTGCCATAATGATACCAGCACGAAATTTCTTCATGGTTAACATTAATCATCTGCTTTTCTGCACGACAGGCTTTTCGAAACAACCGAGTTAATGGTATCGAACCCTCCTCAGCATCATTGTTATCGTTGGTTTCAACTAATTCTCCATTAATAGGCGTGAACAATTCTTTGATAAACCCCTGCAACATATTCTGTTTATGTGAAGACGGTGGACTTGACGAACATCTGCTTGTTCGAGTTGGGGTATTAGAAGTATTAATCTGGTTTGTCTCCACTTGTTCAGCTGAACCTATCAATTCTTCATCTTGTTGTTCATGGTTGTGATCATTATCATAATCTTGTTCACGGTCGTGATAATTACCATAATCAACTTGTTCATGGTCGTGATGATTACCATAATCGACTTGTTCATTGTCATGGCGGTCATCTGCTGGAATTGTTGACTCATTACGATTAGCTACGCGTGGATGGTAACTACTATCACGAAAACGCCGACGACGACGACGAGGACGAAGACGAGGACGAGGACCAAGGCCTGAATCAAAACCTTCATGATGGTTATCGGGTTCATGTTCGTGATCATAAATATGATTATGGTCATGGTTA